CGTGCCGGTGAGTGAGGCAGATACAAGGATCCACATGCGGGTGAGGGAAGCAGGCAGACAGGTAGGAACGGTTTTACAATAGTTTTAATATCAAGCACGCAGGACATAGAAACAATGAGCCAACCAGACAAAATGGACTAACAGGGTTTAAATACAGGAGGAGCTGGGACCTTGGGTGATTGGGAGACGAGAGGCAGGTGGGAGCAATTAACATGGACACAGGACTAAACAGAATGGGGAGACGGGACAGGGTGCGACAGATTAGATAATAGAATCAATGAAAAAATAAGTTGTCACAGACTCCATGGAAACTTTCAGAGAATCCACAAATAGTAGCTTTCAAATGGTTTTGTTACTTTTTGCAAGTTTAGAAAAGAAGCAGATGAGACAGCATGTCTGATAATTTAGTTTTTCATCTGATAATATTAGAACATGTCAGTAATGTCTGAGGGGCTTTTATAAACACTATAACTAATACTACTGGAGAGGGTTTGGATTACACAGAGGCTTCTGGGAGTCCAGTGACAGGGGTGGGGGCTGTTCTGTTTAGCCTTGGCCCCCATAATGCCTTGAAAAGGCCCTGGGTGTGTGACTGAATTGTGTCAGATGCATAAATATTACATGTGTGTAACTTACTGTTTTATACAAGTAAAAATGTGTAGTGGAGATAAATCTACCTTCATTTTACTTTTCAACACTTTGTTTTGTTTTCTTGTTTTGTTGTTCCTGTCCTGTCTGTCTCTCATCTTCCTGCATCTCCTCTAAACTCTCCAGAAAAACTGCTGCCTGGATTCTTACTTTTTCACCTCATCAGTTACTTCTGAGCAGATCAAAGGGATCTCCTGACCGCAAAGCGGAGAGCGCGTTTCGATGCTGCGTCAGTGAGGTGAAATCACCGCAGTGCAGGTGATGAGCTCCGCAGTAGCAGAGCGCTTCAGGCACAAATAAGACAGAAAGTAGGGAACGTGTGCGGACATGAACGATCGTGTGCTCATTATAGTTTTTTTGGTTGTGCCACTTTGAGAATGGACCGTGCGCTGGATGCAGCTGCCTGGAGCGCACCAACGATCATCGCTCTGCCGCTCTCTGTGCTCTCCACTCAAAAGAATCCCCGGTACCCTCAGAGTCCATAAATGATGTAATATAGGTAGAAACATTTTTTCCGGCTCCCCTGGATGTGTAGGATATCCAGCTCCCCCATAAATAGATCCCTGCTCCTGGATGAAAAACTGGACATTTTAATCAATACAAGAAACCCGCCCGGACGCCCCGGACAGAGAGCGAAAAGTGGACATGTCCGGGGAAAAGGGGACGTATGGTCAGCCCAGATATCAAGCGGGAGATTACAGATACAATATTTTGCTCGTGCCCTTGCTACCCTGGGCCCTTTAGAGTTCATGGACCCCTGGTCAATTGCCCAGTTGCCCATATGGTTAATCCGACCTTGCCTGTATGTTTCCTGTCGACGACACTTTACTGTTCAAAGCCAGATCAAATGTAAATAGGGGAAGCTGTAGGTGTCGTTTGTACACGCATCGTTCTTTTGTGTGTGTATGCTTGAGTGGGTGGGTCACTGGTTTGTTACACCACTCTATTCCACCAACAAACTCTGTCTGTCTCATCATCTTTCTTATGATAAAATATAAAGGAGCAGCTTGAGGATATGCTAACATTAACATTGTAGACTAAGGCAACGAACATCTTCAGGAGAAACATCTTAAATTCCAATTTTCAAATGATCCACAGGGAGCAGAGGGGAATGCTTCAAAACAAGCTAAATCATCTTTAGTGGCATTACAATTGACTTTTGAGGATGTGCGATGCACTTCCGGACCTAGACGTTGGTGGCTATTCTTTAAGAGCGGGGTGTGTTGGATGTGCACCAGTGTAAGGAAAGGATAGCAGAGGAGAAAAGAGCGCGGGAACACAATGAGTCTAGCGTTCCTTTCAGTCGGCTCGGGGCCTTATCTCCTTTTAACACACTAGCCGGTGACTGCTGCTAAAGGAAAGGATTTACAATGTGCGAGAGGAGGAAGCTCTGCAAACTTCCCTGCTTTTACCCTTACTCACATGCAGACAGACACAAATAATCATATCCACCGCAGTACAATGACCCGACTTGGCTCTCGTATCTCCGAGACTCCTCAGCCACACAGGAGATGCTGTCAGCATAATAAAGAGCGCAGGGGCAGGGGTGTTTGTGAGGTGACAGAGAGATAGAGGAGCTAGAGGGAGGCGAGACAAAGGTGTCTTTGTCATTAATGCCATCAGAGGGACTTCCAGTCGCAGTGTTATGGTACACAGAGTTCATCCAGGCAAGTTCCCAATTTGTGTGTGTGTTTCATTGTGCAGTTTATCAGGCTGGCCACATGCAGCGTCGCAGGTAACCCAGTGACCGGCCAACAAAAGGCCAAATTAAGAGGAGTAAGAGGCGGGCGTACAGAGAGGCTGACAGGTTGACTGACACTGTTCCCTTAGAGAATAGCATCCTGTCAATCTTGGAGCTGTCACCTTGACGAGAATCCTTTCTTTGGATGCAGCCCTCATTGCCAACCTTTCTGTCAGTCAAGGCCACACAGATGCACACACTTCTACCATTTTCAGAACTCTGCACTATGAGAACACCACCCCCTCGATGCACTAACTAGGAGACTAACACCCAGAAGCAAAGACATTTTGGATTAGGTGCTGAACCAGGTGTGCTTTAAATTCTCTTTTTCAGCACCTGGTGACCAAACCAACAGTAAAACTTCCTACGTATTTTTTATAATGACTAAAATGGATGTTGAAATTACATTTAAAGCTTTCCCTTTTTAGAAATCAATATCCCACCTCTTAGTTTAGACATGGTGCCACCTGCTGTCACGCCTGAAAGAAAAACAAAAGTTTTACTTTATTTGTGTTCAGAAAGTGAACTTCTAGAACTCTGAGTTTGTGTATGTGTTAATGGCTTGTGTTTGTATGATGCCTTCTTAGAGTTCAACAACCCCCCCAAGGTGCTTCACAACACAATCAGTCATTCACACACACATTCACACGCTGGTGATGATGAGCTACACTGCAGCCACTGCCCTGGGGCACACTGACAAAGGTGAGGTTGCTGGGCACTGGCGCCACTGATCCCTCCAACCACCACCAGTAAGGCAGGTTAAGTGTCTTGCCAAAGGACACAACAGTAGAATTCGTTGGCGGGAGCCGTGATCGAACCCACAACCTTTCAATTTCTGGACAGCCTGCTCTACCTCCTGAGTTACTGCTGCCCCAGTGTGTGTGTGTGTGTGTGTGTGTGTGTGTGTGTGTGTGTGTGTGTGTGTGTGTGTGTGTGTGTGTGTGTGTGTGTGTGTTTGTTCACATGATCAGTTTAAGAGTAAAAACTGGTGAAATAGTAAAACATCTGAATAATTACCTGAAGTTTTCTTCTCTTGTTTGGGACTGCAGCATTTGGAGCACTGGGGCTTCCCCTAGTCTTAAATGATTTCATTTATAATCTGTCCATCTTTTAAAAACAACAGTCCCTGGACTTGAGCTGTTAGCATGATCTGTGTTGGCTGCTGGAGGGGCTGGTGTGACTGGTGGCGAGGCTCAGCAGCTGTCTGTGTGTACTTTTACAAGTTGGTTCTGTTTGTTCTGTAGACACAGGTGGGGTCAGGAGGGTGTCAGCTTTGTCTTCTGACCCCCTTCCACGGCTGTGTGTGCGTGCGTGCGTGTGTGCGTGTGTGTGTGTGTGTGTGTGTGTGTGTGTGTGTGTGTGTGTGTGTGTGTGTGTGTGTGTGTGTGTGTGTGTGTGTGTGTGTCTGAGAGGGCAGGTGGGTGGGGTGAAGGGACTAACAGACCAGTGTGGACAGGTGGAGGATTCTCACGATACAGGCAGCAGATGTACTGTACCTGTCCTCTTCTCTGTCTCTCTGTGTTTTCTGTTTCCCAGGCTACGATGTTTGTTTACCTGCAGGATCCGTGTACACATTTATGAGTATTTCTCAAACTTAAAAACACACACAAAAAAAACAATAACTTTTATGTCTAAAACCTGGATTTCTTTTTGTGCATTAAACTGATTTTCAAGAGAAAATGTGAGAATTAAAGGAAGATTTGTCACTGGTTTTGTTTTTAAGGAAAGTAGATCAGTCAGTGGTTATTGCCAACTTCCTCATTGTTTCTTGGATGCTAAACCCTGTGTTGCTCCTGATGGGTCGAGATATATTTCCTTTTACTTATAAAACAAAACACCGCTCATTGCATGTAGGGGGAATGTTCTTATCATTTCGAGTTACTGTTTCTAAACCTTTTCCTTGCACTGATGGTAATTTGCTTCCGCACTACTGAGAGTTATAAATGTCATGCAGCAATAGTCTTAGCAACTTAGCTAAATGTGGGTAACATCCCCCAAAATGCACTAAGTACTCCTGAAAATTTGTTCCTGATGGTGTTCATATATGTTTTAAGCCTCTTCGTGGACTTGATTATTGTACATTTTCGCAGGATTGAGGCAAAAAAACAACACATATTGACCATTTTTACATTATATTGATTTTACAGTCAGGGTTGTGGTGTGTGGATGATCCTCATACAGCTAAACTGGCCTGTAGCCTCCTCCTCACACTTAGTCTGGTAACATTTTCTTGTGGAGTGGCATCCTTCAACCAGGAAGGTTGGTCAGCCTGTCTAGTAACTACAGCATTAAGTCTGCTGGCAGCACCTGAAACTCTAAATATGAGAGAATACCACCAGGACCTACCCACATTTTTAGTTTTTCAGCTCATTCCTCAAGCTGTTGTAAATATGACTAAACAGGCTTCTTGACAAAATAGATTTTTTGCCAAGATATATGGTTACAAAAAAGAAGGAATAAACAAACACAACTGTTCTTGCTTTTTGATATATATATATATATATATATATATATATATATATATATATATATATATATATATATATATATATATATATATATATATGATATGATACTATATGTTACATCTTTTATTTTTCGCATTTATTAAGCTGAGATTTAGAGAGTACAACAGTCAACTACATCTTAGATGATAAAATGTTCATATTTTGGTCCACTAAAAACAAACATGACAGCAGCTTAATGCATGTTGATAGCTTCAGCACATTATTGTCGTTGATAACAGACACATCTCCCATCTGTCCATCTTCTCATGAGTCCACTAACCTGACTCCTTGTGGCATCTGGACACTGATAAAGCTGTTAATTTTACAGGCTTCAAAATATTTACACATGTATGTTCAAATACCAACAAACACTTTTTTTCTCTTTTCGGTACTTCTCCTCTCAGAAAACTATTGTAAAAGTGGTTAATAAAGTGAATAACGTGTGTGGGACGAGCTGCTGTCCTTATCCTGGCCGTCCTGATATGATGAAACAGCGGCCCCTACGGGCAGACAAAGGCATAGCAAGGGAGCTGACTTTCGCTCTTCTCTTTTATTCTGAAATAAAAAGGTGCCATCGTTTTTAGAATAAGCGCTGCAGGCCATACACGTGATGTTTTTTAGATGTTTCGTTGAACAATTATTGCGTGTTATTCGGATACGTTCAGCAAGTACTTTTTTTTATATTTGGAGCCACATTGTGTTGATTAAATTCACCTTCTGTGTTGAGGGTGGCCGACCAAGCGTTTATTTTTGACGCGCTGGGAGTGAGAATGTGTTGCTTCAAAACATTGTAAGGGAGCACTAATGCAGGGTTTACACTTCCTATTTAGGATTTATTTTAAATACTAGAAAGGATTCCTGTGCCATAGCTGCCAGCTTCTCCCTTCTGATGGTACCCGAGAGAGAGAGAGCGAGAGAGAGAGCGAGAGAGAGAGAGAGAGAGAGAGAGAGAGAGAGCGAGAGAGAGAGAGAGGTTAGGAGCTCCAGATGGTGTTTAAACGCAGACAGAAGGCTACAGCGAGGACACCGAGACAGGAGGAGGAGGAGAGCGCCGCGGTTACTGCGCACGGAGCCAGCTCCACTCATCACCGAGGACAAAACAAGTCCGAAGATCCCTAAAACAGCAAACTGACGATTTAAGAGAATAAATGAAAAAAAACACACACCTGATCAAAGGGCTTTTCCTTCAGGAGAAGTGAACATCTTAAACGAGAGAGGATCGGCGCGTCAGAGGAGAGCAAGCACGGTGGAGGTGGAGCAGCCTGTCCGCAGGCTGCAACAGAGACACGCTTAGAAGAATATCAAGAAAACACCTGATCATATGTGTGGGAAGTTGCTCCTGACATCACGGATTGTGGCTAAACAGTGAAGTGAACTTAAAAAGCAGAAAGAGGAACCCAAAGTTCTAGCAAGAGGAATAAAAGACTACAGCCCAGAAGACCTTCGTCTTCCTGTGGGTCCACATGGACTGGATCTGAGGACTTTCATCCATTAAACCGGACGCGTCTGTTGATCTGAGAGGTCATGATGTGTCACAGGGAGGATTTACACGAGTGGGACAAGTTCTGATTCTGTCGCACCCTTCTCATCAGAAGCTGTTTGCTTCAAAAACATAAACAGATATTCATCCCTGACTCCAACACCAAAGACATCGCTTTTGTAGAGGATCCAAAAGCTTTGGTTGTATTTACTCAAAAATAACAGAGAAGATAAATACCTCACAGCCTAATTTTCTTAAACCTGGACCCTGTTTGAGCACCCAAAGGAAAAAAAAGACTACTTTACTTTCTACTGATAAACTAAAAAAGGAATAACAGAACAAAGGCTTTATCCCCTTTCCCCTCCAAATGATGAGGATTGAGACGATATAAACAGCAGTTAACAAGCTGTTGGTGTGGATTATCAGCTCGTTTCCTCAGCTTGACCTTCACAAAGTAAGTAAAAATCTACAAACACAACTGAAAGGAGACACGTTTGTTTATATTATTTTATTTATTATAATAGTCAGGTTTAATCCTCCATATTCCAATTTTTTTATTGATAATATGTAAATTACAGGTGCTGTAAAAATATACATTTTTAAAAGCAGTTTCTTTTTTTAAAAAATCATGTTTTTGTTAGAGAAGTTCATATTTTTCCACATAATTTATTATGTTGAACACAAAAACATGATCTCTGGAGTCAAATATCACTTTTTTCCCCATAAAAGAATATAGTGTTTGTCTTTTTACCTTGAAACAGAAGTAAACCTAAATAAGGAGGCATTTTTAATAAATACTTATTTTATCTGTTTTTGTTATAAGTTTATTTAGTAAAGTCTGAAAGCTGAAAGAGGGAGACAAAGGAGGGGCCATGAGTTGTTTGCTCCTGCACTCTGAGCTGCACATCAAAGAGATGTCGAGACAAAGTGGTGACACCAAATCTCTGTGATTTTAGCGTCAGTCCACAGAGCACAGAGGTGATGGGTGTGAGAGGATAAACGCTGTTTTCACTCTGAACTGCTTCAGAATAGCCTTTTCACCTCTTGTGTCATTGCTTCTGTAGAAAAGATGGAAATATTAGAGAAGTGAATCCTCTCTGCTGAGTGCAGCGTGTGTGTGTCAGTGTGTGTGAGTCAGACAAAGTGCATCATGGTAACAAATTTGAAATGTTGGAATAAGAAGAAACAGCTAAAGGTTTCCTCGCCCCCCCACTTGAACAGCCTCGGCAGCAAACTTCTCCATCTGGATGTAAGTGCAACAGTAAAACACTCTCGCCATTTTCTCTGCAGGACACAGCCCTGTATAATTGGCCCTGGTAAATATCATCTGAATAATTGAACAGCTGATGATAGTCTTGAACAATGGATGAGAGGTTTGCAGGGGTGAAACCGCAGTGCAGACACCCTGCCTCACCACACGTTACATTCCCTTCCTCATCACCAGGAGAGCATCTCTTCCTCTGTCTCTGATCTGCAGGGTTTCCTCCTCTCCGCATCTCCGAGGCAGACCGTTCATTATGACACCAAGCTTGTGGGGTGTTTTTTTTTTCCACAGGTGCATGTTGGGAACATCCCACAACCCCTGAGTGGTTTCTTGTGCATCCAGCACCAAGAGGAGTCTGCACCGAGGGATGCTTTTGTGATCCTGAAGGAGACACGGTTGACATTTGATGAGAAACTTGACTTGATGCAGCAGCATCACACATCACACAGCTCACGTTCGACTGTACGATTGAGTGGGCTTTTTGAGCCGGCTTTTGTGTGTGTGTGTGGTAATTATTGTGATCTAATTGCGGGCAGTGCAGGTGAAACTGGCTGCCTCCTAATTAATGAGTGAGGCAGATGGCCTCGGGTGGGCGGGAGATGCGAGCGTACACAGAGTCGGTCAGGTGGTCAGCACAACACCGACACCTGGGCCATCGCAAACAAAACGAGTCCAGCAGCAGTTGTAAGCCAAAAAAGGAAAAACAAAAGATACAAACACTTACTAGCTTTTCATTTAGTCATTTTGGCTAAAACTTGTGTGACCCGAGTCACAAGTAACACAGTGTATCACGCTGGCTTTTTTTTTTTTTTTTTGCTGTATGTTAAAGATATTTCTGGTGAATGAAGCAAAAAACATGATGCAATTTTAATGCATTACTTGTTTTTGACACTCAAGACCACAGGGATTATTTTTTGTGGTTAGCTGATTGCAGGAAGTCACAGAGTCCTTCCTCCTGGACGGCATGACCTTTCAAAATAAGAGTGAAAACAGTTGTTTGTGAAAAGCTTTGGGGTTTGTCTAACTGTGTGTGGAGACAGCTAAAGTGATGTGGCTTTAAAATGCTCATATCCTGGAGTGATGTTGAAAGTTAATGTGATTCTTTGCAGAGCTGATGCTTGTGGCAAATTATGCCTTCTGTTATGTTTAAACCAATGAGATAATGATTTGTTGGTTTGGTATTAGCAGCAGCTATCTTGTTTAGTGCTACCCAGCTATCTTGACTCACTCTGAGGGTGGTTTTGGATGCCTGCAGCCCCGTCCCTCATCTCAAATGTGCGTGTGTGTCGGTCTGTTCTGCCCCGGTCTGTTCCACATGTGTTTGATATTACTGTGACAAGGCTGCCCGGCCCCTCTGGGGAGCTGTCAGAGTCAGTGCTCGCTGTCAGAGAGCAGAGTTGAGAAGTGAGCAGCTTCCCAGCATCTGATGGCATGAGAGGCGCACTCGCTTTACGGTCCGGCTGCTGACGCCACAGCGTGGGAGCAGAGCTCAGGGGCGAGGCCAAGCAAAGCCACAATTGTGAGTTAGAAATATCACTCTGTCTCCCTCGTCCCCGCTCCCTGAACTGGATTTGCTCATTTTCTCTCAGGCGTTCACGAAAGTCCACACACAGTCAGCGTTTCTTTGACTCCGGTATGATCAGGTGTCTTTTCTTGTGTGTCAGGAAAAATGCACGATTTACTTTATCTGCGTAAAGGCAAGAATAAAAAGATGACATTTTTGACTGAGCATTTAGGGGATTAACATGTTGAAAAGGCTTTGTAATCTTAGTGAAATCCATCAAGATACAAACAGCACCTATTCGTTTTGTAATTTCAAGCAGAAACGGCTGCAAACAAATGTCACGACACAGAACGCTGACCGCTACAAGCAAGGAAAAGCACATCCTCCTCCTCCCTTCCTTGTCTTGTGCCAAATTCACCTCCAGCTCTCCCTGCACACCGTTCACTTCCTTGCATGCCCACTGACCTCCGACCCTGTTATGACCCCTTTTCCCTCTTTTTCAGCCTCCTCACTGTCCTGTCTCCCCCACACTGAGTCCAGGTTAGGAAGCGTGGTCAGATCAGAGTCAGACTGAGGAAACAGCTGGGCTAATCTACAGCAGCACTTAGCTTTTGTTTTAATCAGCTCAAGAGGACAGGCCAGCAGAGAGAATGGGAACTTCATATCGCCACCGGTACCTGATGTAACCAGTCCCTCCCTTTCCCTTCGCCTAACACCCCGGCCTTTATCGCGGGTGAGGAGAAGTAAACAAGCGCAGAGAGGAAAACCGGGCCGCTCCAAAGCAGTCCTCTCTGGAAGTCCTGGGAAGCAGGAGAGGAGCGTGCAGCCATGCAGTGGGAAGGAAGGCATGTCTGTCACATTTGCTCCGTTTGTCTCCTTACATTATTTGTGAAATTAGAAAACGCCGTTATCTCCTGGAAACAGATCCCTTGCCACACAGATGGTTCCGTCTCTTCAAATGGGAAGCTGAGCCACAGAGTGCAGTCGTGTTACCAGTTAGACGCACAGACCTTAATCTTGGCTCCAGCCTTCCTTCCTCTCTCTGTCTCTCTCTAACCACACACACACACACACACACACACACACACACACACACACACACACACACACACACACACACACACACACACACACACACACACACACACACACACTGCAACAAAATCATAGAGACAAACTTTATCTGTTGACTTTGTGTTTCCACTTGTGTTGCAAGACTTGATTTGCTCAAAATTATTTTAGTATAAAGAAAAATCTTTTTTTTAAGCGTCTTCAAGATCAGAGGTCACTGATGAGCAGTTCAAGTCCGACGCTCTTAGTCTGTTACGCACAGACGTCATCCCATTGTGACTTGACTCCGCCTGAGTCGACTTCTAGGCTTTCAAATAAACAGAAGTACACATGTTAACTTCAGAGGGCCTGGCATGTATTACACGGCGTGTTTTACACAGCTGTTAAGTCTGGGACGCAAAGATAAATAAATAGTCACACTGCTTGTCAAAATAACAAAAACACAGAAAAGTTCAGTCACAAAGCACTGTTGAAGGACCGAAACTGATGCTGCGCTTATATTTTCATTCGACTTCCATATTTTTCCCAAATGTCAACAAAAAGACAAATCCATAAAGCAGAGATTCAGTTTGAATAATCACAGCGTCAGTCTTCACTGTGCACTTTCTTTCACTGCAACTGTGCCAATTAGCACACATAATCAGCACGTTACTGGCCCAGCAGTCGTCGTCTTACTTCACCCACTCGCTCTGTTTCTGAGGCGGCGTCCTGTAGCCGGATTGTGTCCCAGAGGGATCGCTGGTATTTATTTGGGCAGCTTCCAGCGCGAGGTGACTGTTGGCTAAACGAAGAAACTGTCAAAGCTCCTCTCCAACCTGTCACACAAACGCACCGCCGCCCCTATCTCCGCCACACTGAGTGGGTTTTGTGTGTGTGTGTGTGTGGAAAAAAAAAGTTGTCCTGGACAGTAACACACACCTCCTCACCGATGCCTGGCTAATGTCAGGCGCTTTTGTTGGAGCGCCTGCCGGCCAAATGAAGAACTATGAGCGCCAGCAGGCCGGGGAGCCGCTGAGGCTTCAGACGGGTCTGTCAGCGCTGACAGCTGTGTAGTGACAGAGCAGACATTTAACACAGAATGAAATGAAATACAAGACACCAAGCTGGAGAATGACTAATCTTCTGTTTGTTTTCCCGTGTTAGCTGTAAGTGACAGCTCAGTGTCGGGTTTTTACTGGCGCACAAAGCAGCAGATTCCCTTTAACGCGAACAAAGAGTCAGGGTTCTATGATGAGGACGGATGCTGAGTGCGTGTGCTTGTGTGTGTGTGTGTGTGTGTGTGTGTGTGTGTGTGTGTGTCTGTGTGTGTTGCCAGGGTCTAATCTAAGACTTCTGTCCTCCATAAATCAGCATGCAGCAGCGGTGATGTAAGAACAAACAGAGCTGCTCTCTGCTGCAGCTGGCTAAAAGAGGGAGAGGAACACAGAGAGGGAAAGCGAGAGCAGGACAGCAGCTGTCAGGCCTCCATCGCACACCTGTCACACAGGAAGCCAGCGCGATGGCCACTGTTTCCTGGACACGCCTCCTCAAACACTGCTCCTGGAAGAAATGGAGGGAGAACAACTGCTGTGATGGAGAGATGCTGAGAAGATCAACAAAGAAATGATAGGAAGAATGAAGGGTTGAGGTGAAAGCAAACAGCGAGTTTCTCAGGCCTTTTCTGGTGGGCCGGTTCATGTGTGTGTGTGTGTGTGTGTGTGTTTACAGCTAAGAGGATGTTTGTGTTATAGCAGGACTCTGTGACAGACAGGTCACTCTGTAGAGTCTCCAACTCTCCCACAATCATACCCTAAACTTAACATTCGGACATTCCCACGCCTGCTCCTCTCAGCCGTCCTCTCCTGTGGCCAATGTGAGCCAATCCAGATGTGCTGTAGCTGCTCACAGCTGCAAACACAGCTCTTTTTACACAGCTCCTTCTCCTACGTCTTGCCTTTCCTCAGCTTCTCTCCTTGCTCGACTCGCCGCCTCAGCCTGCAGGCTTTGCTGAAGAGACCAGGAGGTGAAGTCAGTGGGTGAGCCGACAAGGCTTTTGTCTCCTCCCAGCCTCCAGAGCTGCACTGTTGTGGCTGCTGTTGGTAGAAAAACCTCCTCTTTGTTTGTCACTCTTGTCAGACTGGGTCCTCAGGAGGCCCCCCTTACCCTATTCCCAGGCTGCCCTTCATGCTGCCTGTATGCAATTAACAGAGTAATTAAAAGCCTGATGAGCTAATAGGCGTTGGTTGAGGCTGCAGGTGTTTGGATTGAGGAGCTCATTTATGCAAATCCACTCAACGCGAACACGCTCGGGCGATTTTCAAACAACATTTTTTTTGTTTGTTGTTGCAATTTGAATATAAAGAATTTCACTGCAAAAGAGAATTGTTTCAGATTGTGTTGAGGGATGTTTACTTCGAGAGTGTGCTGTAGTACTGAGTGGAACAGCTGATGATCTGTTCTGCACGTGCACAAAAAATAACAAATCATTTGTATTAATGAGTCAATTTCCTTTTGCGCTTTAACACAATTGCACTTGGAGTTATCACTAAAGGTTCCTACCAAGTCCTGGCACGTGTTGAGATGTTACCAAAGTGCATTTCCAGACTTTTCCGAAAGATCTGAGCTTTTTTGTAAAAAAAAAAATAAATAAATAAGAAGAAAATCTCCTTCATTTTATCTTTTGATTCATGAAGACTTGAGTTTAAGTTTTAGGATATTGAGTATCTGCTGCTGCTCCATTCATAAATTATGGGAATCATAGCACAGAGTCATTCAGAGAAACAGTTTAAAAGCAAGTTTATTTCAAAACGTTTTGTCATGTTTGGATCATAGATCCAAACGTCAGCTCTGAAATATCACAATCTGAGTTTTAGAAGAAGGATCAGAGCAGCAAAAATTCAATTATTATGACGTTTCTCAAATATTTCTCACTGCAGGTCAGTTTCTGCTCCTAATTCTTATCTCAGGAGCACGACATGCCTTTACATAGTTCAACAAGTTCTGCTGCGCGGCTCAGAACCCGATGGTACAAACTGTGTACACGACATGAGGATGATTTATGTGATTTGACTGATGGAGCCTAATAAGTGAGCTCATCAGAGGAGAGAGCGAGCAAGAGCAGAAACTCAGATCAAATGTTAGTTTATGACTGCCTGAGGCTGAGTTCTCAGCTGGCTAAATGTGACTCAGCTGACAGGATTAGAAAAGAGGATGTGGAGGAGAACGTTCATCCAGAGCAGAAGCTTGATTCCTAAATTTCTGCTCTTTTGTGTCTGCTTGGATGTCCAAACCCAGATGCACACACACACACACACACACTTGCCTCTTACTTCCTCCTCCATCGCCTCTGCTCTCTCTGTCTGTCTTTACACCCCCGCCTCCCCCCTCCTCCCCTCTCTGTGGCAGCTGTGCTGGTGATGGCTGTGCGCCCATGGTGCAAGCTGGCTGTGGGGTCCCAGGTGGCCCACATGACAGTTATTGATGTTCAGGTGTTCAGCTCCTCTCACACAGGGACCCTGGAGCCACACACACACACACACACACACACACACACACACACACACACACACACACACACACACACGCACGCACGCAAAAATGTGCATTGTGAAAAGCATAAAGATGCATTAAAATGTAGCTCACGTGCACACACGGAGTACATGTGAGTTGTCGTGTTGTTGCACTATTATGCACATAAACTGCATTTTAGTGTTTTAGCGCTGAGGAAGTGTAAACAACACGCTAACAAGTACAACAGAGGATTCCAGCATGCAGCTGCAAAGTTGCCTGGAGAGAATTACAGTTTTCAGGATGACATGAAAACAACACGCTGTGTGAGAATGTGTGTCGTCCAGCCCGCACGCCTCCTCTGTTGCAAACGCTCGGGACCATTTTCTGTAATAGTTGAAGTGTGGTGGACCAGCCGGTGTCGGTACCAGTGCCCTGCGCAGCCCTAACAAACTCCAGATGTGTCTGGCTAGTTGAGGAGTTGTTCTTGGCACCGCCTGCCTCGGCCGAATGTCACAAATACTTTCCTTTATTTAGAAATGACTTCGACTTTAGCGGCTGGAGCGAAAGAATGAGGCGAGGGTGGATGGATGATGGTGGTGGGATGGCAGGAGGACAGGAGGATGAAAAGAACAAAATCAAATGATTAGCAATGCAGAAGGATGGATGGGTGGTGGTGATGGAAAGATGTAGAAGGACAGAAGATAGAGAGGGAGGAGAGAGGGAGGCAGAAACAGCTCCAGTCTAGCATCTGGATTTTATTAGCAGCCGTTGGGAAAATCTGAAAAGGAAGTTTTTTCTCCGCGAGCACGTCGGCAGCAGTGATGTGCTGCACATAACCACTTCACTGCCGACAAGAGGAGCCGGGCCCTCCCAAAGGAGAACAGATGGTCGCTAGAACTTCAATACAATTACATCAACAGCTCTCATAGATATGGGCTCAGTGTGACAAAATCCCTGCAGCTCAGAGAGACAGAAATACAACTCCTCTCACCTTAGCACCTCTGGCTCGGGACAAATTGCCTTTGATTCATCCTCACTCCCTAAGTTATTCCTGCTTTCCTCAACAGCTTAACCTCTAAAAACATAGCCTGGAGGCGTTTGACCTGAAAAGGCACGCAACTTCTCCATGACTCCGTTGCTGTAAGCTGATCAAAGACAGACAGGAGGACTTTTGCTAGTATTTCTTTGGGAGAACCGATGACCGGAGTTCTCGTTCTGCTCAGCGTGTTTGTTCAGCCGACGCCGCGTGCGCTCAGAGATTCCCAAGTAACAGGGGTACATGTCTCTGTTTGTGTCCACAGCAGGGGCATTCTGCAAATGTCTGAGGCAAATGCACATGTTTGTATGAAGAGGAATTTGAGTTTCAGGCCACAAGAAGAAGGAGAATTCTGGGTAGAGACAGTTTCAACATGTCTAACTTTAAGCTTTCAAAAGCCTGTTTTGGGGTTAAGACTTGAGGTTAGAATATAGTTAGTCTAAGGGGGGAAGCAAATGCATCATGTCAGGAGTGCTCACAAAGATAAAAGTTTAAATGTGTGTGTGTGCGTGAGCAAGCCCTGCACGGACCGAGCTGTCTCCCACCCTGTCATTAGTGAGAGCTTTAAAGCCTCTGAACTTTAAATCAGCTCAAGATGAAGTGGAGTCTGGGATCTCTCTGCAGGAGCCGCCTCTGTGCTGATGTCTTCAAATATGTACACACACACACGCACACACTGCTACAGTCCCATCCTACCTGAGACAGAATACACACCGTCTTCAAACACAGAGCTCTGAGGCAGACAGATGGAAAACATGCTTGTTTTGCTTTTAGTGGCTGCAGGATGACACGTTGGGAGTTTGCCAAGAATGTTTAAAGTTGCGTTTTAGTTGGCCTCAGAGTGGCTGTTGCTGCATCCCTAAAGCCTTATGTCCCAAGCTTGAGGTTACAATCCCAAATGTTTCAATATAAAGGTCTGGTGATGGGTTGGGGGGAGAGGGGAGTGGGGGCCAGGGGGCTCTGGATCTGTTTGTGTGGACTGCACAGCGGCCTGATAGGGAACAGATGTGGAAAGGCAGGCGGCTGGGCAGCCAGCCAGAGCAGCTGGGAGAAATTAAAAACAACAGCATTCCTGGAGACTGGGGGAATTACAGTGGGAGGGAGGGAGGGAGGGAGCAAGAGACAGAGGGAGAGTTTTAGGTCTATGTGGTCACCGGCGAGCGTCTCTGTGGAGCACAGGGATTGAATGGATTTTTTTGGGGGGGGGGGTCCTGCAGCGGTTAGCCAGAGTTAATAAGCTACAGCTGTATCTCCATGTGGAAATGCACAAACACACGAGCATGGATGTGCAATAAAATTACAGTCACAGATAAAACTGCATGAAGCTTTTCTGATGTTTACATATTTTTTTGTTTCCAGCTGCATCCTGAAACCTCTAATGAGACTCAAGAATAACTTTAGACACTCAGGAAACAGAGAAACACCAAACCATGCACACGCAGTTGTACTTCTGCAGTTTGGTGCCTCATGCAGCAAATTCTGTTTGTTTTTTTTCACCTCGTTTCATCATGGCAAACGGGGAGAGTGGAAGACAGAGAACATTTTTAGAACGCAAACTGCAGACTGTTTCTTTGGTGAGCAATCTTTTAGCCCTGATTACGTCAAACCTGCAGACGTACAGCTGTTCTGAGAGTCTGAGAAATGGAGACAAACAGGCAGCGGCAGCAGCGAGGTAGGTAATGATTAGACCAGGCTGTTTAATTTTCAGCATAATATTCTGTAGTATTTAGGACAGACAGCAGTGTAACTGAGTGGATCTATTTTCAGCTGCATTGGTTTCAAAGTGGCTCCGTTCAGATGTTCCTAAGTGTTTTGAAACAGCAGCCTGCAGACAGGAGCGCGATCCAGACCTGCAGCCTGGAAATACGTCTGCTTTAGGTGATGCTGGTCTCTTAATTTCAACTTCTCCTGAAAGAAATGTTTTGTCCTTCAGCACGCAGCACAGTGAGAACACAGATGGTCACAGATGGGGTTTCAGGCCGAGCAGAATTCCTAATGTATTAAAGTGAAATCCAGAGCATGGTGTGTGTGTGAATGCCCCATCCCTGAAGCTGGTCAGATTAAACAACTGTCTATAATCCCACGATGGGAGCAGATGGACAGGATGCTCCCCTTACCCTCCTCCTCCTCCTCTGTTCTCCTCCCTTCATCACACACTTAGACATGGCTGAGAGTTTGGACTCTTCAAGTGCCACAACACGACACTAGTTGTGTGTGTGTATTGCCTTTAGTGCCGTGGGAAACTTCAGCTACATTTGAGTCCTTCTTCAGCTCAGAAGCATGGAGTTTGTTTGTGTGTTTTATTCTCTATAGAAGAAAACAGACGCGTCTATTTATACCAGTGTGTGTGTGTGTGTGTGTGTGTGTGTGTGTGTGTGTGTGTGTGTGTGTGTGTGTGTGTGTGTGTGTGTGTGTGTGTGTGTGTGTGTGTGTGTGTGTGTGTGTGTGTGTGTGTGTGTGTGTGTGTGTGTGTGTGTGTGTGTGTGTGTGTGTGTGTGTTTGTGTTCAGAGCCTGTGGCATGGGGGCACACAGCAGAGCGCCCTTCATGTTTTTGAGGATCAGTGTGTCAATGGCCCTCGTGCAGCATACTCCAGCGCAGCGCTCTTTAAATACAGACACCAGCTGTTGGACTACGGGAGCTCTCAGAAACAGGCTTAAAGCCAACGGATGCAGGGCTTTTGTCGAGGCACACCTGAAATGAAAAACACGTTATGTGACAGCGATTTAATACGAGAGCTGATGAGATGAACGTAGGGTTAGGTATGTAAGAGCTTCTGTTGCTGCGTGTTTTAACGGCGCAAAAGATTATTTTTACTGCCATCAGTTATCATAATTTATTATTCGTGTTACTGTGTTTAATCATTATTTAAGAGCTCAGAAAAATCAGGTTGTTATTGGAATGAGGCTGTATTCAGTGTGCTTGATAAAAAACTAGGAAAAGCAAATAATACCCTATATAATACATTATTATATAGAACATTATTGCCAAGCAGCAACACACTATGACATTTTCCAGGTCTGTTGACTCACCATCACTAAGTGCTGTTTCACAGCAGCAGGATCAGATCCTGTACAAAAGTCCACCATTAGTACTGACCCTCAAAACCGGAATCGGTGCTTCTCTAGTTAATTTTCTGCAACTTCAGGTTGTAACGGAAAATCTCACCTAACAGAAAGTTATTTCTTTCCACTTTCAATCCCACTCAGAGGAGGAAAAGTTACATACACAACCCTTTTACTTCATGAGATTGATATACTGGCCTCTTTCAGAATTCACACCATTTATCACATGATTTTTTCATATTGCATTCTTTATTTATTCTTGCATTTTTTTTGTTATGTTTTCTGTTGAATGATAAAACTTGACTAATTTCACAGCTTCCTTCTTGTCCAACACTTTTCATCTATTAACTTTACAATTCCCAGAATCATATGTTTATAGAACATCAATAATCTATTGGAAAAGGCAGAACTTGTGTTTCTGCGGTGGACGTCATCATTTATATGAAATTATGCAGCTAAAATTAAAATAACATCAAAGGCATTTATTTTTTCTGTTGATAAAATGTAGTAAGATAAATATTTGTATTTTTATCATTTCTTTGCACTAACGGGAAATATGGCAAAATGTACCATTTTGTAGCAATCTCTGCAGAAAACTCATCAAATGTCCCTTTAGTCCTGTTTGCGTTCACATATTCACGTGGCTTATAATAATGCCACTCTAAATGTGGTTTTCTAACATCAAGTTTAGTATTCTGTTTGTCACTGGAAAGTGCACACTTACTGTGACTGTTGCACTCATCCTTCTTCTCAAAGGCTGAAAAAGTCATCAGACGCTTTGCTCGGGTTTACATAGCAAGAGGATCTCTTTCCAGCAGCTGCGCTGACCCCGGCAAACGCAGACGAGGAGACACTTGGGGTCCCAGTTTGTGTTCAAAGTTTTGTGCTTGAGTGTTTTTGTTTGTGTCATCTTGCATCAGACCTGTGGCCATCCCACTGATACCATGCTGGCAGTGGCAGCTGCGGCTCTTCCACCTTTGTGTGGTGTTTTCCTCTGATCACTTGCTGCTTTCTCCATCAGTTGCTTCCATGCTGCAGAGCTGGGCCTTGCCTTGTTTGGTCCTGGCCGGGAGGCTTCTGGTGGGAGGACAGAGCTCTGCTGTGATGGACAGCAGCAGATCCAGTTGCACTTGTCACTGGCTGTCAAACCGGCTGTCTGGGCCTTGGGAACGAGAACGGACAGGCAGGGATGAGTGTGTGTGACGGGGTTGGAGGTTGCAGTGGAGTGCTGCGGAGGGGTGGGGGGGCAGTGATTGGGATGTCAATGCGGCGTGGATTCTGTATGTGTGAAAGAGAGAGCATGAGGGAAGAGAGAGAGAGTGTATGTGTGTGTGTGTGTGTGGGGGGGGGGGGGGGGGCAGGAGCAGCTGAGAGCGAGCAGGTGTTACTGTATGTCTCCCCCATGAATCTCCAACAACAGAGACAATATGAGTTTGGATTCATTTCCACTCCCTGCATTGATTTGTTTCAGTTCTACACGTGGGCCTCTTGGTTTAAGGAAACAATCGATGGCTCGCAGGTGAAAATGTCAGTGCGCTCCTCTTTACCCAGCTGTTTCCTTTTTACTACTTCTTGTTTTTTGTCAAAGCTGAAGCTGCATCTTGCTAACTTTCTTGGTTTTCTTTCTTTGTTTGTTTTATTGTCTCTTTTGCAGGTAGAAAAGTGCAGAAGGTTGGAACAATGCCAGATTCACCTGTGGATGTAAAAACCCAGCCCAGGTCCACCCCACCTACCATGCCTCCTCCACCCCCGGCTGTCAGCCAAGTAACAAGTCGCAACGCTTCATTCACCCCAGCCACCAGTAAATCAAGTGAGTCCTCGTGTTTTACAAGCGAAAAAGCTCCTAAACCCCTTTTTAAGACTTTGTAGATTTGGTGTCTTGGATGGTCCAAACTTTTCCTCGTCAACAACTTAACTGCATCACGGGGAGTTATTTTAGATGTTGTGAGATAAATGTTTTCATGTCAGCAGGCAGTTAATCAGGCAAGTGAAAGAAAAACACTGAGATGTACCAGAAACCTGTAAGAGAAGCAGCTTAAATTATTTTATTGATAGAAGTATCTGCATTAACTGGGGTGTGAAAGAAAAAAGAGCATTAACATTTGTCACCTGGATCAAACTACAAGCATTAAACTTTAATCAGGAGCTGGAGGTCAAGATGCTTGTTAATATCAGGCTTTTATTCAGAACTCACCTTCAGTTTGCAGAAATTAAATAGAAAAAGTTCATCGGCTTTCTTAAGTGTCCATTTTAGAAACAGATATTAAAATTGGAGTTATGCCATTTGTCAATCACAACAACTAAAGCAAATCGAAAAAAATAAAAATAAATAAAAAATCACTTTAATTCATTTTCTATGATAATATTGATGTGTTTTTTGCTGCTGTGTTTACTGAAAACCTTTGCTCTTTTCATTCATAACTTTATTTTATAATTATTTACTTATATTTTTCTGAAGTTTTGCTAATTTGATCAATTTTGGTTTTTGTGGTGTTTTTGTGACAATTTATGTTCGTCAAAAGTTTTGTTTTTGTTGCTTTTGTCCATCAGAACCCAAAAGTTTCCAGATTATTTACAAATGAGCCAAATGTACATCTAGTCAGGAGTTCAACTGGAACCAGTGCTGCAGCTGTTAGATTTTCTGACCCATCTGTCCCTTTGTCGCCTGCATTAAGGAAGAAGAATCATGTGTATCCTCCTTGATTTGGCGAACAAGTGTGTCAGGTGTGACATGAATAATGTCCTTGCTGGTGGGACAAGAGTCTTGATTGAGTGCGGCTCTGGTGATGTGTGTGTGTGTGTGTGTGTGTGTGTGTGTGTGTGTGTGTGTGTGTGTGTGTGTGTGTGTGTGTGTGTGTGTGTGTGTGTGTGTGTGTGTGTGTGTGTGTGTGTGTGTGTGTGTGTGTGTGTGTGTGTGTGTGTGTGTGTGTGTGTGTTGTTTATCAGCTGGTCGGGTGGTGGCGGTGAGTACATGGGACATCAGGCGGAACAGCGTTGAAGTGTGCAGACTTGGTTCTTCCCTATATAGCAATGACAGGCCATGTTGTTTCACCTGTCATGGCTGGTGGTCAGCAGTGTTGCTCTCTCCTTGCAGCTCTTCCTAAAACAAGACCACAAGCGCTGAGATCACACGGGTTAGTCCGTATGTGCTCAGGCCTTCGACCCGTGGATTAGAGCAACAAGTACGCCTGAAAAGAACCACAGGAGCTGGACACAAGTAGACCAACGACCAGTTTCCAGTGGGCTTCACTGGATTAGCCAAAGCAAATCAGGGGCTGCGTTTTAGTTGGGAATTTTATTTTCTTCTTTTATCTTAACAAACTTTGAACATTTGAGTATAACAAAATATTTAGAGGACAAGTGAAAAGTTTCCGTATCTAAGATATCTAACTTTATCTGAGCAGGCATCTCAAATCTGGCTCTACCAGCACAAACACGGCACATGCATGGGACGGGAGATACATTTTTATCCATTTTGGGTTCATTCATGTCCAGCATGGTTAATCTATGGTTCATTTATCATAAATTAGACAGCAAAGGCTTTTTGTAGACTTTAACACAATAAATAGGTCAAGTTTTACATTGAACTGATGCTAAATCAATGATGGGTGATTTGGGTGCCTCAAATGCTGTGTCCTGCTATCATGGGATGATTCAGTCACAGGTACAGGCAGAACAACCATTTGGTATTCAATCATCATCGGGTAATCCAGTTTACACATGCACCGATCGACGTTTGTTTGGAGGCACACAGGACAGACTGAAGAGCAGCGTTCAGGTGAAACTGGAGCACGCTCCGGTGTATTTATGAGTTTGTGCCTGCGTTAAGGAGAAAATGTGAGTGATTATTTATGTGCATGAAAGCTGTGACTATTCCGAACCTTAAAGCTGCAAATCTGCTTTCAGCTGGTGGACATGTGCAGGAGCAGATTTAGCAACACACCTGCTACTGGAATAAAAGTAACACAGCCCACAGGACTATTTTTGGCACCTGTTTAACAAGTTCCTCTTATAGTTGTGTCCTACCGAGGGAGTGAGGAGCAGTCCGGATCAGACTAATACAGGAGGAGATGGAAGGGCCGGAGTGGAGTGTGTGAGTGTGTGTGTGTGTGTGTGTGTGGGGGGGGGGGGGGTCAAATGGTAGCAGTTGTGAGACAGCTGAAGTGACCACAAACACACTCGCAGCACCCAGAAAAGAAGCATCGCTGCTGTCTTTTTAAGCATCTCTAATCGTACAACTTGGTGTTCAATTTTGAGTCTTTGATGTTTTTTAATTGTGAACAGTAGTGATCTGATCCACCCTGTTTCCTCTCTCTGTTCATCTGCAGTGCTGAATGGGAGCAGCCACTCTCCTACGTCGCTAAACGGTGCTCCGTCCACTCCAAATGGCTTTAGTAACGGGCCAGCAATGTCCTCGACAGCCTCATTATCCAACCAGCAGCTCCCGCCGGCTTGTGGCGCCCGGCAGCTCTGCAAATTAAAGCGCTTCCTGACCACGCTGCAGCAGTTTGGAAACGACATTTCACCTGAGATAGGAGAAAGAGTGCGCAGCCTCGTGTTAGGCCTAGTGGTAGGTTCAATTGCCTTTCCGTGTACAATTGTCTCTGCTGAATCTGTCCAACAACATACTCAACACATCTTTTAAAGTGTTGGTATCTACATAGGGAGCTTTGTAAATTGTTCTTTTCTCTTTTGTTTACACACTTCCTGTTGTTTTGGACAGAACTCCACTCTCACCATTGAAGAGTTTCACACGAAACTTCACGAGGCCACCAACTTCCCCCTGAGGCCTTTTGTCATTCCCTTTCTAAAGGTAAAATCTTGGTTTAAGACTTAAAGGGATAGTTGATGTTTTTTCTCACCAGTGGGGTTGTATGAACAGGTTATGAGCAGGCAGTGGATTCCCTGATAGCTGAGTAATCATAGTTTAAATGTGTGGAATAGTGAAAACCTATTTTAAAAGGATTATTCCTGATTATGATCGGTCACTCTGAGTGTTTCATGCAGGATGAACATGAAAATAGTCTCCTGCACCTATCTGCTGCATTAGCTTCTGATAGGAAATAGATGGTGAAACTCTAGGATTTGAAAAGCCTGACATAGTATGAAACACATGACACACTATGCAACTTTGTCATGTTTTA